GTGTGCCGTGTCTGCTCTTCGATCCCTCTCTGATCTTCTTGCGTTTGTGTCCCTCTCTCCTGCCTATTTTCTAGAGTTCGCTGAGCTTTCCATTGATCTTTCCATGTTCGTTGCGGACCCTGATCTTACCCCCCTCTCTTCTGAGTTATCTTCGCCCAACCATTCACTTCCCATCCTTATCCTCGATTGAGAAGATGTCGGAGTTTTTCACATGAATGGTTGGGCCTCTACTTCTCGCACTTTCCCGGATGTATTTCCGATCTGTCTTATCTGCCATTGTGCTTCTTCTTCCCTCTGATCCCTGTCTCCCCATCTTCCTGTTCCTTGCCCAAGATCCTCGGTTCCCCTTGTACCTCCCAATCTCTCTGCTCTGCCTCTTTCCTCTCTCCAACTCCTTCCTCTCGATTCCCTTGTTTCCTCCTCCCTCCATCTTCTCCACTCCCCCGCTCTTCTTCTCATTCCCATGCCATTTGCCCCCTACCTTTCCCTGCCCAGTGAAGTTTGATGCAGAGTTTGTAATCCTGCCTCTCGCTTCAGACCATGAAGGGACATGTCTCTCCACTCTAGCGGGCCAACTGGATAGTGTGTTTGTGGACAGCTTAGGTGTCGTGGGCCCTGGGGGGGTGGTGGGCCCTGTTGATTATGCTAATAGTCTAACCGATATGTGTGACAATAGTCTTCATGGCTCTGGTGATCCCACCTTGTTTGGGATCCTGGCCTTCCACCTCTTACTACCAGGTTTGAATGTATAGCAGATCCCCCCTCTCTCGGGTCCTGCAGCTCCCCCCTCCAGCCTTCTTGGCCTCTCCATAGGTTTGCCGGGAGTTGTAGGGGCTGGTCTTCCACGATGGCTGGTTGTCTAGCTTCCCACCTTCGACTGCGCCACGGGGCCAATTCTTGGACCATCGATGGTCCTTCCCTTCTCCCCTCGCTATTCATTGAGCTTGATCTACCTCCTTCCCTCTCCTATGTGGCCATGTGCTAGCTCTGGGCTCGGGATCCTCTGACTTCCTCCTAGTGCTCCGCACTCTTCCATCTTCCTGTTGACACTGCTGCTCTCGATTGGTTGAGTACAAATTGTAAAAATCTTTCTTTGTGTCCTCCTTGTCTCGGAACACCCAACCTTCTTCTCTCTTCTTCCTGTCGATTCCTAGGACAATTATCTTCTGTGTGAAAGTACCAGCGACACCTACGGCAGTAATCCGTATACGGAGTCACAATATCCACGTTCCAGCGTTCTCCTGCAGGCCCTTCGATCCACAGCTCGTCGTCCACCTCGTACCTTGCACTGGGGTCCATGTCCATTTTTACGTTCATCAGCTTCGAACGGGACCTATCGTACTCCGGTGGGTGTACTTGGAGAACTTCACCGAACATACTTCTTACTGCTAATTTGAGGTAGTAGTATGCGTCTAGAGGCACCCTCAACGCTATAATCCAGAAGTTTATTGACGTTTCTCGGAGGCGTATCTCCTTCAATTCATTGCGGGTCATGCATGACTTGCAGATTGTGGTATATTCTTCATCTGCCAATCGCAGTCTGATTTATCCCTGATTTATCAGCCATTGGGTTATCTCCTTGGCGTTGGTCATGTAGGAAACCACGTTTGCTCCTTCGAAACTGATCCGCCCCCTCCGAATTAAATCATCTCCGGGTCATCCAGCCGTCCTCGTATGCCTGATTAAAAAAAAAATTACCGCTCTCGACAACTGCTTTGCCTCGTCCTGATAGATTAAAATTACTGTTCGTTCTTTTTAACCACTGTTTTTTTATTTCCTCCACTGCTCCGTTTACCACATATCTCCTCCCTTGCTCATCTTCCACCGCTTCTCCTAAGTCTAGGTCGTCAGGGCATATCCCTTCATCGTAGCATCTCTCCACCGAATCCCGTACTCTGTCTTCCTCCCCTCTCGGATCCGCCGACATCGGTGGTCGTTGACGTCCCTGGCTACCTTGGGCTTGACGAGCGGTCATCGTGTCCCTGCTGGCTTTTCTGCGGCTAGACCCTCTATTAACTTTCGTCGGTCCCTGCTTCGCAGGGAATCTCGCAGCACAAGACGATGAGTATCATTTATCCGTTCGATTCTCGTCGCTCAGTCGTCTCTCAGCCCACCTTTCGACTCTTGTAACTCAGTCGTCATTCTTCGCGAATCAATGCGCCGAGCTATCCCACGAAGCAGAGCAAGTAAAGTTCTAATATGGAGCATGAGGAATCTTAAAGACACTTATATCTGGGGAGATTCAACATGAGAGATCAAGAGAGGGTCGAAGATAAGAGGAACGAGTGAAAGACATAAAGAAAACTTGACCGGCACAGAAGGCGCCGTTACTTGAGAGTCGCAGCGCGGGATGTTTCTCAAAGAGTTAGGAAACGAGAGGAAAGAGAGATGAATAGCTTTGTTGGACACGAAAACTTGCCATTGCGTGAGTGTTGCGTGCGGCGAACAGGCGTCAGGTCGACGGCCGGTTTACCCTGTCGCGCCCCTGGGCCAAAACATATTTTCGGCAGGCCCTTGTCGGTAGTGGCCGCAACTTTCCAGGACGCCCTCCTTGGACTGGCGGCCCCATTTCTATCGGGCCCTGTGCCATATGCCCTCATGAGGGTTTGCCGTCTTTCTGCAATGCCCCCGCAGTGGTGAGGCGCCAGAAATTTGAATTCGATTTGAAATTGCGTCCTTCTTGACGTGGCCACTACGTTGTTGTCGACGCGCCGCCGCCGAGAAGCTGCTGCATTCCACGGTGAGTGTCACTCACCTTCTTCGTTCTCCCTGTACTCCATCTCCTCGTTCTTCATATCTTTCGCTTCCCTGCGAGTGCGTGTGTGTGTGTGTGTGTGTGTGTGTGAGAGAGAGAGAGAGAGAGAGAGAGAGAGAGAGAG